TTTTGTGAGTTAGAATTTTGTTCTGTATTTTTCTCCAGCTCTGTCTGGGACCTTCTGTTGTGATCCTTGTCAGAGGATCGGTGGTGGTATCCGGGCACCATCTAGTTGTCCTGGACTCAGTCTGGTGGAGGCCGTGGTAGTTGTGGTCCATTAGTCCTTTGGACTAAAAAAAGAAGAAAATCTTATTCTATGAGTTTTGAGGACTGAAGGGAAAGGAGAAACCCCACAACTTTGTGTCCAAAGTGGCTTAACTATTTTGGAAGTTGGCAACAAAAAAGAACATTGATGTTTTATTAGGAGGTGGATGTGGAAGCTTTTGTTGAGCCTAGAAACTAGGACCTGGAGAGGGCTTTCTCTCTCTCTCTCTGTCTCTCTCTCTGTCTCTCTGTCTCTCTGTGAGAGAGAGAGAGGGAGAAGAGGAAAGAGAGAGAGAGCACACCCAGCTCGCCATCCCAGCATCCCCCAGCGTCCTCCCCTGGAAGGACCTGGAAGGATGCGTCCTGCCTCACTGCCACTCGGTGTCTGCTTGCACGCCCCCTTAATGAGGAGCCCCCTGTGGACAGGTCTCACCATTGTCCTTATACCAAGCTGAAGCCTGGCTTCCTGTAGCTTCACTCACCTCTCCCAGTTCTGCTTTTCGGGGCTCAGGAGAGCATCTGTGCTCTGGTACCAGCAGCCCTGGTGGATTTGCAGACAGAGCACGTGGCTTCCCACGGCCAGTGCCCACCTTCTCGTCTCCAGACAGCACAGCTCTGGGTCTTCCTCTGTCTTCCCTGGGGGAAGTCTAGGGGGCCTGCATCTCTCTTTAAACGTAGGACCTAGAACTGCCTTCAGGTCCCTGGGTGAGTCTGACCAGGGCAAAGCAGACCCATCACTTCCTGCTTCTAGAACTGTCCACCAGACCTGGCACCACTGACGTCTGGGGCTGGATAATTCCATGTTGGGGCAGCTGTCCTGTGCCTTGTACGATGATCAGCAGCATCTCTGCTCTCTACCCACTAGATGCCAGGAGCAATCCCCTTCCCAGCTGTGACAACCAAAACTGTCACCATACATTGCCAAATGTCCCTGGGGACCAGAGTCACGCCTGTTTGAGGACCACTGGTATAGACCAGCTACATCCAGCTAGGAAGTGAGCGCTTGCCTAATCCAGGGTTTCCGTGGGACATGAAGTCCATGCAAGGTGAGGACGAGGAGGAGCAGCGTGGTTAGCAGCATGGACTCGAGTGCGCCTGTTGTTGTCAGCTCCCCACTCATGGCAACCTCCTGCACAGTGGAACAAAACACTGCCAGGTCCTGTGCCATCCCCATGATTGGTTTCAGTAGGACCCTTGTAATCCATAGGGTTTCACTGGCTGATTTTCGGAAGTAGATCCCCAGGCCTTTCTTCCTTCCATTTTCGTCTGGAAGCTCTACTGAAACCTGTTCAGCAACACACAAGCCTCCACTGACAGACAGGTAGTGGCTGCGGGTGAGATGCATTGGCCCCGGGAATCGAACCCAGATTCCCAGATTCTTACGGAAGGCGAGAATTCTTCCATTGAACCGCCGCCAATGCTTTCCCTGGGTTCAAATCTCAGCTCTGCCCCTTCCTGCCAGCGTGTCCTGGGCCAGTGGGTTCAGTCTCCAAGGCTCAGGCATCTGGAATGTAAGAAACGGTGACAGTGCTGCCTGTCAGGGCGCTGTGAGGGTGGAGGGACGTGGAGCGCAGGCGTGGCGAGCACAGGCCTGGCTCCCGTAGAGGACCGGGAGTGGGGTCTGTGGTCAGGCACGGGCTGGCGGGTACCTGCCGGAGGAAGTTAAATCCACCGGGGGGACGGTGCATCCGACAGGGTGGGCAGGCACGCAGGGGCCCCTTCTCTAAGGGCCCACGGTAAGGGGGATTTGGGCTTATGAGGTGAATTTGACCCCAAAGAGAGTAGGTAATATGGCTCCAACTTCAAACTATTGGATTTTTCTCTGGTTTAATCTCATTTCCCGGCAAAATTTCTTTCTTCTTTTTCCCCCCTGACTGTAGCTTGGTTCACTCAAATTATTGTTAGGTGCTGCGTTGTCTCTGAGCCACAGTGACCTTATGTACAACAGCAGGAAACTCTAACAGTGCCCAGGAGACAGTGTTCCAGGAACATGAGAGCTAGATGCACAGTTCAGTGTGTTCCCTCCAAATGGGTTGGATGCGTTTTGAGTTTTTAAAAACACTCACAAAACTGTTCATCCTTTATAGGGATGAGCAGCAACTTACTAGGGAAAGAACACTTTACCCGGGAAACTTCATAAATATAAATGACTCTGGTGAAGCTCCCCCACCGCACTACCAACCCAGCGCAGCCCCTGCCTGTGCGTTCTTGTAAGTCCAGAGAAGGCGCTGTGGAAATGTGTGCCAGTCCATAAACTAAAAGTCAATAAAAGGTCCCTAGGTGATGAAAATGGTTTGCCCTTGACTACTAACCTAAAGGTTGGCGGTTCGAATCCATCTAGCAGTACCGTGGAAGAAAGTCCTGGCGACCTGCTTCCATAAAGATCACAGCCAAGAAAACCCTATGGAGCAGTTCTACTGTTTAACACGTGAGGTCGCCATGAGCTGACCTGATGGGCAATCAGCAACCACAACAGACCACTGAGGCAGCAAGAGCCTGTGGAATTCAGAAAGGGAAAGTAAGAACAAGCTTTCTGTTTTAAACTGCCTGAGGACTCTATCTCTATATGGAGCTCTGGTGGCGCAGTGGTTAAGAGCTCAGCTGCTAACCAAAAAGTCGGCTGTTCAAATCCACCAGCTGCTCCTTGGAAACCCTGTAGGCCAGTTCTACTCTGTCCTATAGGGTCGCTATGAGTTGGAACTGACTCAACAGCAATGGGAATCTGCCTATATATCCTATAAGGCCATACTCTGTGCTTGAAGCTGTACCACCTTCTATACCTACCCAGTCTCCCTATTTCACAGATGAGGACACTGAGGCTCAGGTTCCAGCCTTGCCCAGTATCTCACAACCCACTCACTAAATGGCTCAGCCAGGATTCAAACCCAGGCCCAGCTTGAAGCTACATCCCCTCGCCATCAGCCCCTCATGCGGCCCCGCTCAGCTGCTCCGGGTCCCTCTGAGAGAACAAATGTTCGAGCTTTCCCACCAGAGGGATGTGGGGAGGCATTTTGTACCATGACCCACTCAGAAAACAGAAAGCTGCAGTTCCAAGATGATTGATACCAAATTGTTCGCACGTCACTGAAACCACTCATTGAGTTGTCAGCGCAGAAAACAATATTCTGCACAGCTCTGCAGTGAAGGAGTCTGTATCCAGGCAATGGCCTGGTCCCTTCCACCCATTCCGTGCCTTACAGATGGAGACATCAGCAACGGTGTGGGTAACAAGCAGTACAGCTGTGGGCACGCTGGGAGCTGGCAGAATCGGAATCTTGAGGACGGGACATCCATGTGACATTTGCAGGGGTCCACCAGCTGCCCCTTGGAAACCCTATGAGGAAGTTCTACTCTTCCTGTAGGGTCACTCTCGAAGGCAATGGGTTTGGTTTTGGGGCCCACTAGGGCTGCTGACTGGAGGCCATGGGTGAGGTAGGGGCCTGGTGAGTCTGAGGCCCGGATAGAGTGTGGATTGTCTCACGGGAAGCTGGGCCGGGGTGCTCCTCGCAGGCATGTGTGCATTGGAGCTCAGAGCTGAGCAACTGCCCCCCTAGATGGGACTAATGGCAGACTGAGGTTTCCGGCTTTACCCGAGGGAGATCGTGCAAAGTCACCTTATACTTAATGGAAGAGGCTGGAGAGGGCTTATGGGAAGAAACTTCGCTTCCTGGAGGGCGGAAGGGGCAGTGCCCTGCCCCAGGGTGTCTGCACCTAGGAATGCTGGCGGGGCGCTTGATGCTATTCTGATGTCTTTAGGGCCAAGGACCCAAGGCCAACCCAATCCTGCCTAACAACCCTCCCTGCACCCCCCTCCCCCCGAGATCCCCAAGGGGGCTATGACAAGAGGAAACAAAATCCCACTTTATTCACACTTGAGCCCAGTAACCCCCAAATGCGAGGCTCTTGGGTCAGAGCTAGGCTGGGGTTGGGGGCTCGTATCTTACATAACCATGACTGCTGGAGAGAGGGGCGGGAGGGGGCGTTCTCCCCTCTACAGCCCACTCGTGAGGAGTAGAGAGGAGGAGCAGAGGTGGCTGGCACCTTTTCACACACAGCGCCCCTGCCCTCTCATGCATGTGACTGATGGGAATTAGAATGCCTCTTTCTTGGGGATGGGGTGCATTAGGAAAGGGGTGCGGTGAACTAGACCTGGGTAAGAAGATGGGCTAAGATTTCTCTCTAAAGATCATCTTGAGGACGCACGCAGTCATCCAAATGCCTGCCAGATGTGGAATTAGGAAGGAGAGTTGTAGCAATGTGGGAATCCCTTGCCCCTTCTCAGACCCCATAAACAGATGGAACTTGTTGCTGTCAGAGATAGGACGGAGCACAGCCCAAAGCTGGTAGAGGCAGGATCCGGTGCACAGGAAAAGCAGAGAACAGGGCAACCAGCCATTTCTGAACACAGAAGCGGGGGCCCCAGCTTCAGCCTGGGCCAGCAGCCACACAGGACCATTGTCCAGGCCTGAACCCCCAAAGCACCTTCTGGCCTGGAGACCCTGATGAAGGCCAGAGACTGGCTTTTCAAAGCAGATGTTGTCACATACATGGCAGGCAGGGGCAGGTGACAAGAGTTCTGGGTAGCACACAGTGACCTCGTGGGA